ACCTCAGACATATAGAGCCATATGGCTTTCTCTGTCTTGTCTTCCTGTTCTTAGTGAATTCTTTAGGTGACTTGTATAACTGCATGTTGGCTTCAATTGCTCATGAAAGGTCTATTTCTGGAGGTGATCTCTTTTCCCCACATCTCCATGTGTAGGCAATCCTACCAACATGGCTGGGAAAACTCCACACATTGCACATCCAGTTGGAGGTTGTAAGATTTGGGGAGAGAAAAAGCAATAGATGGTTTATTTTCAACTCCCAAATCATTGATTACTGTAGTGCATTGCTCATTTCATGAACTAATCAGTTTGCACTCAATATTTCTTGAGTGGCTTTCTCAATGATTTGCCATCTGTGGTATGCTTGCAAGTATAATCACTCAGTTTGTATCTTGCCTGTACATTTGCTCTTGTTGCTTCTTCATTGAAAATAATAGTTTATATTTACAATGTTACTGCTCTAGCTTAATCCACATACTTTCAATGAAGAACAGTTGTACTGTTTGCATAAGTACAACACCAGGATTCTCAGTTCTTGGATCCAAGCTGCACTTTAAAGTGTACTAAATATGATAGTCATGACCAGTTGTTTGCTGAAATCCATGGTCTTCTTTTTCGTGGGCACTCAATTAGAGCATATTTCCTAGATGTCCTTTCAGGGAGCTGTGGTCATACGACTGAGGTCTAGCCCATTCCAGGTCTGGGTTTCTTCCACTATGCTCAAATATTCAGGAAGCTGAATTGGTTGGTGGTGGGATGGGCCTGAATTCCTAGTTCTTCACTTCTAGGAGAGCTTCCCTGTTATATAGAAGAGAAAAACTTACGTTATGTTTAAGTCATTGTATGATCTTTGGTCAATTTATTACAGTGGTCTGAGTTGGAATTTGTAATTCACTAATTTCTCCAAAGTAATTTCTACTTCTTTCTAGCAGCCTTTTAGTGTTTCTATTACACATATGTGAATTATATGCTAGGCACCAGGGACATAGATATAATTGTTGTTGTTGTTGTTGTTTTTAACACATCTAGTAATGGGCATCCCTATCTCTAACCTAGAGCAGTTTGGTCTATTCTCTTAAAGTGTCCTTCTTCTCCATTCAGAATCATAATAACTCAGGGGTGGTTAGTAACATGGTTTGGGGGTGGGGCTAGTTCCAATGATGGAGAAGAGAAAGATTTCAGAGATCAACTTGGCTATATGCCAGACTAATCTAATGTTGATGAACCTAATTCCTATTAAGAACACAAAAGTTATAGGTGTATATGTTAGTTAAAAATCACATATAATTACCCTTAAAAAGATAAAGAATAATTTTGTATAAGGCAGAAAGAAAAGCTCAGAGCAAGAAGTGTAAACTATAGTGGATGCTCTACAACCCCATGGGATTTGCAGTCAGATTTATAGTCAGGGTGCTGAGGGTTGGGGTCTGGGGGTACTTACATCTGGCCAATAATCTACGCAAAGCTCAGAGATTAATAGTATGTGTGCAACACTAGAATAATCCTTATATGTGAAGAGAGTATTAGGAATAATTTTGCTAGATAGTAATTAGAAAGTAATTAAAAGTTACAGGGTCACACCTGTAATCCTAGCTACCCAGGAGGCTGAAATCAAAGCCAGTCCAGACAGGAAAGTCCATGAGACTCTTATCTCCAATTAAACACCTAAAAACCAGGAAATAGAGCTGTGGCTTAAAGTGTTAGAGTGCTAGCCTTGAGCAAAAATGCTCAGGAAGAATGCCCAGTCCCTGAGTTCACCCCATGACTGACAAAAAAAAAGTCAATACCATTCTTGTACTTAAGTAAATTTAAATTAGAAAAAATTACAAAAAGGATTCCTATTCAAAATAACTGAAAAATTGGAGAACTCTAGAATTAATTCTATCAAGACAATCTAAAATTGGTTTGAAATTATATAAACTTTGATGGACAAAAAGAAAATGAGTGGACCAATAATATGAATGGAAAACTTTAATATAAGAATACCTCTTCTCTTCCAATCAGTCTCTGCATTTAATGAAACCCCAATCTGAACACCACAGGCTTTTCCTTTTGAAATAGAATTTAGTAAACTGATTAAAAAATGTAGGTCACTTGTAGGTCACTTGTAGAAAAACAAAGATATCTGTTGCTTCAACAGATATAAAAATGATATATTGTAGTTGCAGAAATGTTGACTGAATTTTGGCAGGGAGAAGCACAAGTTGATCAGTATAACATTTATTAGAAGATACTATACAATGGAGGCTGGTTTAGAAAAGGGATGGGTTGACTACAGCAAATAGTCATGGGAGAAGTTGGTAACCTTGATATAAAAATAATACAGAAAATCAGATTAGGGGCTGGGAAGTTGGCTCAGTGGTAGAGCGCTTGCCTTGCATGCCTGAGGCCCTGGGTTCGATTCCTCAGCACTACATAAGCAAAAAGAAAAAAAAAGCCGGAAGTGGCGCTGTGGCTCAAGTGGTAGAGCGCTAGCTTTGAGCTGAAGAGCTGAGGGACAGCGCTCAGGCCCAGAGTTCAGGCCCCACAACCGGATCCCCCCCCCCCCAAAAAAAGACAGAAAATCAGATTAAAATATAATACATATAATATATGAAATATTATGGTAAGACCCTTTTGCACAATGAATATTCACTAAAAGTGAATAATAGGAATGTAAAATAGATTCTGTTGGGGGTGGGGATCAACAGGAGAAGGGAGGCTGAACAGGGTGGGTGGAGGAGGGTAAACATAGTCAATGTATTTTATGTATGTGTATGAAAATAGAACAATGAAACCTGTTGAAATTGTTTCAAGAAGAAGGGGAAGGAAGGATAAAAGATAGTTATAGAGGGGGCGAATTTGGCCAGGGTACATTATATGCATATTTGGAAATCTCACAGTGAAATTCGAGTCATAGGCCAATGAAATTGCTAAAAGGAGTATTTACAAATCAATATGAAGAAAAGGCATTTCTAGCAAAGAAAGAAAAAATTACAAATGAAAAGGAGTAATTAAGGACATAAAAATGTACATATGAAAATATATTGAAAGTCATTAGTGGCAAGCAGAACATCAATAAAAAATACAGAAAATAATTACTGAAGAATTAATTGTGGTATGGAAATCTTCAAAAAAAACTAAGAGGAATATATGTGTCTGTTATCAGGGAAGAAATTGACTTAAATGAGGCACAAACACATGACCTAAGGAAAATACTCTAAAATTTAACTACTGTAAAACATTTATGTGAAAAGGATATAAAAAGAAATCACAATCAGCATTTGTAAGAATTATTAGAATACAGGGACAAAACAAGGAGCCAAAAGCACAGCAGGAAAAAAGGGCAAAAAATGTTATTTTTACCTGGGTGCCATTGGCTCATGCCTGTAGTCCTAGCTACTCAGGAGGCTGAGATCTGAGGATCAGGATTCAAAGCCAGCCCAGGCAGGAAAGTCTGTGAGACTCTTATCTCCAATAAAGTACTCCCTAAAAAAGCCAGAAGTGGAGCTGTGGCTCAAGTGGAATAGCACTAATCTTGAGCAAAAAAGCTCAGGGAAAGTGCCCAGGCCTTGAGTGCAAGCCCAGGAACACACACACACACACACTTGTTATTTGTAAATAGGTAGGCCATCACTACCCTGTCCACTCATAAGGCCATGCATGTCAGTAAATGTGCATGCCCACAAAACACTCAGATTTTACCTCAGGGAACAGATAGAGCTGAGGACTGAAGTGAACTAGACCCAGCTGCCTTTTTCCCTGCCTGTGTTGTGGACAAGAACTCCAGGAGAAGTGTGCACAAGGTGGTGTTCTCTCACTGTGTCTCATGTTCATTGCTTCGTGAAGACCTAGGATCTGGAATCAAGTAGATAATATATCCTAGCTTTACTGCCACCTGTCTGTATGACTATCAGTTCATTTCACCAGATAAACAATATCTTCTAACATGACACAGAAATTCTACTCACCTCCTGAAGCTTCCAGAGGTCAGGGGAGGGAATGGCTCGGGGTCATTACTGCTTCTGGCAGGATCATAAAACTGTTTCCAACATCTATAGCCCCACCTGGGAAGTTAGTTCACATGGTGTCAAAAACCTCCCTGGTTCCTGTGGTTTTTACTCTTTGTCCACATGTGAGATGGCAGGCAGTGGTCTAGCACCTTCTTGCATTCTTCTTGGGGGCCAGTTAGGCCCCCATCCTGGAGTTCTGTGACTGTGGTGGAGAAGGCAGGAATGGCATGACTTGCAAACAGGAGGCCTCAAGCTCTGAAGCATTAGCAGAAAGGGAAGAAAGTTTTCTTGGAAGGAACCTGAGGGGGAGGAGTCAAGTCGCTCCTTGAGGAAGCTGGATGAGTCTTAGTATAGATGGCTGGAATTAGTCAACAGGTTATGAGGTCTCCTGAAATTCGAGTCTCCCTGGTCCTGATTCAAGGCCAAAGTCAGAGTAATTATTGAGATTCATGGAAACTCCTCTGGATTTGCCCTGAGGGACACTGTGGCTCTTGTTAGGTTTTTAAAAAGAGGTGGCCGAGTAAGAACTGCACCACGCACGTGGTATTCAGGTAAGGGGTAGGTTTATTCAGTAGACCTGCTGGGACCAGGCAAGGTTGGCACTCCACGCGGCTGGCAAAAGGAAAAAAAGGGCGGTCTGGCCGCGGTTTAGGCCTTATATAGGGTAGGGGGTGGGGAAGGGTGTGTCCAGGTAAAGGGAAGTGGGATCGGGTGGGAGAAAGGTGTGGCCACATCAGGTTAAGATGTGACCTCAGCGGATGCGGATGTGACCTCTTCCAGGTATCCCAGTTGCCTAGGTAACGCAGGTACTGGGTGAGGTCTGTTCGCCGTCCAGGAATGGACCTTACATTCCAGCCTTTTGATAATTATGAAAAAGGGCGAAGACTCTCTCTGGCTACTTCCTGCTGGCAAAGGGCGTCGTAGGGGTAAAAGGCTGGGATGTGGTCCATGCTGGGAGAAGGCAGCAGGCTGCAGCTGTCACTTGGGTGTTGAGTCCTTCGATGAAGTCTGGAGGAGGCAAGTCTCTTGGACGAAGTCTGGAGAAGTTTTATGAGGCATTGACGGAAACCTGAACAAATAGGAACTCTGACAATTTTTTTTTTTTTTTTTTTTTTTTAAACCTAGAATGGCTAGCCTTTGAGAGGGAACCTAGAGGGGGGTCCCCGGGACCCAGCCTGCGTCGCACTCTTCAGGGCACAAGCCAAAAAGTTGTAGAGTCAGTCTGGTGAGTGAAGGAGAGCTTACCAGGCAGAAACGGCGTCCCGACTTCCCCCAGAGCCCTCTAGAGAGAAATGGCCAAGCCCCCAAAGCCAAGCGTCCTCGGCTTCAGAGGTGACCAGCCTTTCAGCTAAAGGCCGTAGGAGCTCTCTGGCGTGGCGCCACGTCTGGACATAGACTGAGCAACAGAGAGCCGTAGAGTAGTTTCACTCACCAGAGTAGAGAAGTGGTGTGGACGTGGATGTGAAGGCCAGAAATGGTATCGGTGAAAAATCTCGCATAGTGTCAAGGCAGTTCAGTTCACAAAAAAGGGGTGGTTAGGAAATTAGCTGATGAAAAGAACACCATGCACTATTCAGGCAGGAAAAGAAGTTAATTTGACTGAACTGTTGCCCCCACCCAGCATGGTGGAGAAGCATGGCTGAAAAAGGAAAGGGGGGGGGAGGAAGAGGGGTGACCTAGTAGAAGGTGACTGCTTCCAGGTCTGCCAGTTCCATGATGTCTGCAAGAAGCGAGTCTCTTAGATGAAGTCTGGAGGAAGTCTTCTCAGGCAGGGGGCTGAACAAAGATGAAAAGCAAATATATTACTGGAAAGAAAAGATTGGATGTCCATGGCTTGGAGGTGTCCTAAGGGATGAGATAGTGAGGTCTTTGGGGAGGAGAGCAGTTAGCTCAGTTTTACTCACCCGGATCTTCAGGGATGCGAGACAGCCTTACCTTGGTAGGCCCGAGGGGGGAACAGGTGTACCTGGAGGTCAGGGTTGGTATAGAAGGGGCAGGAACAGGAGCCCTTTTTATTCTTGACAGGTGAATCCACTGGGGCTGTCCATTGAGCTTGACTGCGGTGGGGGTTGTCAGCAGAACCTGGTGAGGGCCTGTCCACTTAGGGTGTAAACCAGATGGATTAAGGGTCTTGAGAAACACTTGATCACCAGGCAAAATTGGGGGAGTGGGAAAGGGGCCTTGATGAGGCTGAGGGAGACACTGGTCAGCATGTTGGCGCAGCATGTGCCTAAGAAAGGTTAGGACAGGAAGGTAGTCTATTAGTGGAGTCTTGGCATTGTCAGTAGGGAAATTACCTAGGAGAAAAGGTCTTCCATACATTAACTCAAAGGGGCTGAGGAAAGTAGGGCTGCGGGGAGAAACACGTAAGCGGGTGAGCGCCAGGGGTAACAGTTCTGGCCAGGATTGCTGGAGCTCTAGAGAAAGTTTAGTAAGTTGTGTTTTGAGGAGCGCATTAGCTCTTTCAACCTTTCCAGAAGACTGAGGTCTATAAGGAATGTGAAGATTCCACTGGATGTTTAGAGAGGATGCCACCTGTTGGGTCACTTTGGAGATGAAAGCAGGTCCATTGTCAGACTGAAGTGACCTGGGTAAGCCAAACCTAGGAATAATTTCTTTAATAAGGACAGAGGCAACAGTGTCAGCAGTCTCCAACGTTGTGGGATAGGCTTCAATCCATCCTGAAAAGGTATCAACCATAGTTAGAAGGTATTTCAGCCGCTTACATCTGGGCATGTGAGTGAAGTCTATCTGCCAGTCTTCCCCTGGGGTATGTCCCCGTGCTTGGTGTGTGGGGAATGCAGCTGGTCGGAGACCACCCTGTGAGGAGGTAAGAGAACATGTGGGGCAGGCTTGGGTAATAGCCTTTAGTCGAGTAGTTAGGCTAGGGCAATGGATTAAAGGTTTAAGAAGGTGGGAGAGAGGCTTGTATCCAATGTGCAGCGCCTGGTGAACCTGGGAAAGAAAGCTGTCTGCTTGTGCCTCGGGAAGAACAACTCGTCCTTCCAGGGACCACCATCCCTGTGCTTCCTGGGAGGCTCCCTGGTGCGTAAGTTCCTCGAGCTCCTGTGGGGTATAAGAGGGTTGAATTGAAGGCAATACCAGTAGCAAGGGAGCTGGAAGTTGTCCCTGGAGTTGTCTCTGGGCTGCTAGCTTTGCCTCCCGGTCTGCTTTTGAATTGCCGACTGTAATGGCATCCAATCCTGTCTGGTGTCCTCTGCAGTGGATGACCGCTACCTGCTGGGGAAGGGAAGCAGCTTCTAATAGTTTAAGAATAAGTGAGGCATTAGTAATGGGAGTCCCTTTGGTGGTCAGGAAGCCACGCTCCTTCCAGATTGCTGCATGAGAATGGAGAATATGATAGGCATATTTTGAGTCTGTATAAATATTAATCTTCCGACCCTTTGCTAGAATTAAGGCCCTAGTTAAAGCTATAAGTTCTGCCTTTTGTGAGGTAGTGCTAGGGGGCAGAGGGCTGCTTTCAAGAATGGTAGAGTTATTAACGATGGCATAGCCTGCAACTCGGCTTCCTGAAGAGGTAGATATGGAACTGCCATCGATGTACCAGGTGTCTTCTGGGTCAGGAAGAGGAGTTTCCGAGATACCTGTAAAATGGGGTGTGAATTCCTCCAAGGTCTCTGTACAGGAATGGGAAAGAGGGTCAGAATTGGATGGAAGCAAGATAGCTGGATTGAGCGGGGAGCAGCTTTCCAGTGAAAAGTCAGGGTTTTGAATAAAAGTAACATGAAACAGCTGTAGGCGGGAAGGGGAAAGGGAAGTCAGGGATTTATGAGACAAAAGGTCCTTTAGTCTGTGGGGAGAGCGAATGGTAGTGGGTTGGCCAAAAGTGAGTTTTGTGCTCTCCTGTGCTAAGGTGGCTGCTGCTGCCAAAGCTCGAAGACATGCTGGCCAGCCTTTTACCGTTGGGTCTAGCTGTTTTGAGAGGTAGGCCACAGGTCTAAAGGAGGGGCCTGACATTTGTCCAAGAACCCCAAGGCCAATTCCCCACTTCTCAGTGACATAGAGTATAAAGGGTTCCTTGAGGTTGGGTAGAGCCAGTGCTGGAGCCCGAAGAAGCGCTTGCTTCAGAACTTTAAATGGGGTGTCAATGGGCTTTGTGGGGTCTGGTGGCTCCAATAGGGAACCTTTGGATGCCTCATAAAGAGGTTTGGCCAATGTGGCAAAACCGGGTATCCAAATACGAAGGAAGCCTGCAAGTCCCAGGAAAGACAGAATGTCCTCCTTGGTCTGTGGGACAGAGAGAGACTCAATGTAGGCTTTTTTATCAAGAGTAATTCTTCTCTCTGTAGGAGTTATGGACAAACCCAAGTATGTTACCTCTGACTTCGCTATCTGGGCCTTTGAAGGAGAGACTCTATATCCTTTTGTCAACAGGAAGTTGAGGAGGTCAGCTGTATGTTGGCGAGCCAACTCAAAGGAAGGGCTGCAAAGCAAAAGATCATCCACATACTGGAGAACAATGCTAGGAGACACCTGAAGAGAGAGGAGATCCTTTGCTAAAGCCTGTCCAAAGAAATGGGGACTGTCTCGGAACCCTTGAGGGAGGACCGTCCAGGTCAGCTGTTGTGCCCTTGAAGTGTCTGGGTCCACCCAAGTAAAAGCAAAGAAATCTTGGCAGTCGGGATGCAGGGGGATTGTGAAGAATGCATCCTTGAGGTCCAGCACTGAGAAGTGGGTGGTACCAGGAGGTATCTGTGAAAGGAGGGTATATGGGTTAGGCACAACAGGATGAATGGGAAGGACTGCAGCATCAATAGTGCGCAGGTCCTGGACTAGGCGGTAGGTCCCATCAGGTTTAACTACTGGCAGGATAGGGGTGTTAAAGGGGGAGTTAGTGGGTCTGAGAAGTCCTTGTTTAATAAGGCGAAGGATGATGGGTTTTAAACCTTGCCTGTGCCTAAGGGAAATGGGGTATTGGGAAGTACCAGGAAAATGGGTAGGGTTTTTAAGTTTAATCAGGACAGGAGTATGGTGTCTAGCCATAGTAGGAGTGGAAGTATCCCAGATAAGAGGGTTGACAAGATCTGGAGGTAAAGGGAAAGGATCTAGTTGGGAAGTTACAGGTGGAGGTTCATCTAAAGATAAAAGTAGAACAGGTGTAGGCTGTTTGGGGATATGGAATGAAAGGGAGACTTGAAATTTAGAGAGCAAGTCCCTTCCTAGGAGTGGGGTAGGACAGTGAGGTAGGATTAGGAAGGAGTGTGAAAAGGGAAAGTCTTCTATTTTACATGATACTGGTCCTGTAGTTGGGGGACAGGTAGGTAGGCCATCTACACCCACCACCGAGATCTGGGAGGGAAAAGTCTTGCCTGTATATTGACATAGCACCGAGTAAGTCGCTCCCGTATCCAAGAGAAAAGATATTAACTTACCGGCTACATAGAAACACACCCTGGGCTCCGTCATTGTGATGGTCTGGTTGTTGGGAGCAGGTGGCCCTGGGCACCTTCATTCTGTAGCCAAGCAGAAAATCTCCGACCTGTCTGGCTCCGCCTGCCTGGGTGGGCGGGGTGGGGGAGGGGCTGGCCTACCTTGTGGAGGTGAGGAGGGGCAATCGACTCCCCAATGTCCTTGCTGCCCACACCTTGGGCAGGGTCCAGGTGGAGGTCGTGGTGAGGGACAGAATTTCGCCCAGTGGCCCTCTTGCCCACACTTGAAGCATGCTCCAGGTGGTGTATGTTGGGTGCCTCTCCTCAGAGGAGGCCGGACGGCAGCAGCCAGGATTTGATAGTTCTCCCTCTCACGGGCAGTCTTATCGGCAATCTCCTGTTCCTCTCGATTATTGAAAACTTTAAATGCCATACTCACCAGATCTCGTTGAGGGGTCTGAGGACCGTTCTCAGCCTTTTTTAACTTTTTCCTAATATCAGGGGCTGATTGGGCAATAAAATGCGTATTGAGAACCACCTTAGCCTCTGGTGACTCTGGGTCCAGCCTTGTATAGCGCTGGAGCGCTACTGTAAGGCGCTCAAGAAATTCTGCCGGGTTTTCATTGGGCCTTTGAGTAATGTGGTTTAATTTGTCATAATTAACAGGGAGATAGGCTGCCTTTTGAAGGCCAGCCACTAAGCAAGTTATCATCCTATTTCTGCTTTCCCGCCCAGGAGCATTATGTTGATAATTCCAATTGGGCTCTTCCCTAGGCACAGCTGTTGCTCCCACTGGAAAGTTAATATCTAGGCGGTGAGCTTCATCGGCATGTGCCTGGGCTGCAGTCCACACCCTTTCTTTTTCCTCAGCAGTAAGGGTAGAGGATAGTATTAGATATATGTCCTGCCAAGTAAGGTCATAGGTCTGAGCCAGGTTCTTAAACTGCTTAACATAATTATTAGAATCTTGGGCATAAGATCCCAGCCTCTTCTCAATCTGAGCAATATCAAACATTGAGAATGGCGCATGCACCCTAATTACACCTTCAGCCCCTGCCACCTCTCGCAAAGGGCACATGGGGTCTGGTGGAGGTTGTGTGCCACCAGTGCGAGACCGGGTGTGAGCTGCAGGGGGGGAAGAGAGAGAGGGTGAAGGAGAGGAGAGTGAAGAAGGTGGGGAAGGCACCAGATGCTCAGCAGGAAGAGGGGCAGAGTCAAAAAGAGGGTCAGCCACATCAGGCTCCGGATGGGGCCCTGCGCTATCAGAGCTGGGTTCTCCACGTGCCAGGAGGAGTGGAAAGGCCGGGCATGATTGGCATAGGGCAGGGTTGTCCCGGAGAGCAAAGAATGGCTGAATATGAATGACCTCAGACCATTTACCATTACGACGGCAAAAATCGTCTAAATCTCTGAGAATGACGTAGTCAAAAGTCCCGTCTTTGGGCCATCGAGAACGATTATCCAGTTGGTACTGTGGCCAAACTTGAGTGCAATAATAAATCAGTTGTTTCTTGTTGATGCAGTCAATAGACAAGACATCCAGGGAACGCAGGAGGCATTTCAATGGAGTTTCCTCCTTTGGGCGTGACTTACAACAACCCATTGGAAATGTAAAAGAGAAAAACGTAAGAGGAAAATTTAGTGAGTGAAGGAGGGCTTACTGAATGGAAGCGGTGTCCCAACTTACCACCGAGCCCTCTAGAGAGAAGTGACGAGCAACCAGAGTCAAGTAAAGGCCTAGTAGGTTCTCCGGCGTGGTATCTGGAAAGAGACTGAACGACAGAGAACCCTTAGAGAGTAGGTCACTCACCAAAATGTAGAAGTGTGGAGGAAGATGCAGAGGCCAGCAATAGAATTGATGCACTGTGTCCGCAGCAGATAGACGGGTTCATAAAAGGCCGTCAGAACTGTGGGTATTCCTCAGAGCAAAAAAGGGAAAACAAACAAAAAACGAAAAAAAGAAAAGAAAAGGAAAAAAACAGAGGGGAATCCAGCTATCCTGACTTTAAGCCCTTTATCCGAGTCACGGCACCATTTATGTTAGGTTTTTAAAAAGAGGTGGCCGAGTAAGAACTGCACCACGCACGTGGTATTCAGGTAAGGGGTAGGTTTATTCAGTAGACCTGCTGGGACCAGGCAAGGTTGGCACTCCACGCGGCTGGCAAAAGGAAAAAAAGGGCGGTCTGGCCGCGGTTTAGGCCTTATATAGGGTAGGGGGTGGGGAAGGGTGTGTCCAGGTAAAGGGAAGTGGGATCGGGTGGGAGAAAGGTGTGGCCACATCAGGTTAAGATGTGACCTCAGCGGATGCGGATGTGACCTCTTCCAGGTATCCCAGTTGCCTAGGTAACGCAGGTACTGGGTGAGGTCTGTTCGCCGTCCAGGAATGGACCTTACAGCTCTCAAGTGTAATCTGCAGTTTCCTGGAGAGTAGTATGTCCCCAGGGTCCAAGCATGGGGCTGACCTGTTCCAGCCTCTTTATTTGGGCGTGATCTCCTCTCTCTTGCTTTTCAGCACCAATTTGTAGCACCATTGGAGTTGTAAAGATGATGTTATAATTGAACTGCTGCCTTTCTTAAGCCCATGCTAATACCTTCCTGCTGCTTAGTATGGCAATGAAAAAGAATTGCATGTCATCTTTCCTCTAAGAATTGTCTGTAGGAGTGTGCTTTCTTTAATCCATCATGCTGATAGTATATCTATAAACTTTATAAATTCTTACACATAGAAAGAGTCTAAATGCCATTTACTCTATTTTATACAGGAAACCATTATAGTACCTTGGAATAATGGTCACATCTTATAATAACTTAGCACTTCTTGTAGCAAAAAGATTGCTTGCTTTTTGTGGAAGGCAATGGTGAGGATTGAGCCGTGACTTTGTTCAGCACTTATGTCTGCCAATCATTGGCCCAGGATCATGATTTCATTTATTTATACACCATTAAAATAGAAAAGTAATGATAATGATGACTTCACTCTCAAAATGTTATAAAGGTTAGATGAATTCGTATTTAAAATTTTCTTAAAATAATGCTGGACACACAGCTGGTATTTACTAACTCTGTATTACTATCCTTACTACTATATCCCTTCTTACTATATACCACCGGTCATGTCATGATTTTTCACACCTAACAGACTACACACAGTAGTATGGTTGTTGAGTGGCATTTTACTGTGGGTACATCTTATGTCACATAATTATGCTGCCTGTTATTAATTGTCCTATTTCTATGTGTTTACTACATAGAACCCAATGACAGCCTATGATAAATACTTTCCATAATCAACTAAAACTTTGTTTTAAAAACTGATATATAAAAAGAAAATCTTTTAAATATTCACACATTTTAGTAAATTGACTAACAAAAAACAAAATCCCAACTGTTTGCCTCTTGCAAGAAATTCATTTCATCTCTAAGGACACATGTAGATGGAAAGCAAAGAGACAAAATAAGCTATTGTACATGAATGGAAGCCAAAAGAAAGCAGAAGTAGGCACATTGATATTAGGCAAAATGTATTTTAAATAAGAAATCATCAACAGAGGCAAGACAGGTCATCACATAATGATAAAGGGATCAATT